TATGAGCAAGTAAATACAATGTGAAGAATTCTGACCAACACAAATTCTTAATATAGTCAGTGAAAAAGGCTTTGATATTAATCATGCAGAACATAATAGACCAGTTGGTGCTAAGTATATTCATGGCACTTTGAGTATATTCATCGTGATACCGTAAATAAAGTAACATTTTCCTGCCGCCATTTTGGAGTCTTAGTTCAGTAATAAGAGTAGAATGGGAGGAAGTAATGTCTTTGCTTCTATATCTTCTACTGGCACTTATTAAAGTCCATGAGCCAACTCTAGACACTGGATGATGGTCAGTAAGCAGTAGCAATATTGCTGTAACGAATAAATACAGCAGTTTTTGGAGAAAAAGCTCTTTTCACGATCGCTCCATAGACAACCATTGGAAGTAGGACTCCAAAATGGCGGAAGGAAAATTTTACTCTATTTACGGCATCACAATGAATATACTTAAAATTCTATGAATATACTTAGCACCAACTGGTCTATAGATGCCATCACATTGCCCAAATTTTCTCCCATCTAAAATTGTATGATGCATAAAAGCACCCTTTATAATAAAGGCGATGGTACTCCCAATCTTAATTAATTTTAGCTAATTACACATAAGAATGATCATCTTATAGCCTACCTTCATCCTCTGCTGATGCCATCATTGCCATGACCACTTAGACGTTGAATTTCTTGAATCTAACTCCTGCAGCTTCTGAGTTTTTCACTTTACTGTATCCAGGAGCAAGGAATAGTCACCAGAAACCCGAGAGAGGCTCACAGTGGTAGCCGAGGTGGGAGCCGTCTGTCCATTGCTCAGTGAGCTGGACGACGTCGACTGCCCTCGGGGAGTTGACCCCGCATTTAGAAACCCCGGAACACGGATCCGGAAAAGTTCAGGGTGGAGTCGCTGGATTCTCGCAGAATTATCAAGGTAATTATGGATGGTGTAAGGAGAAGGAACATTCAGCTTTTCTTGTCAAGGCAATCTCAAATTATCAGTGAGATAGTGCATATATAAGGTTTGGTCTTTATCTTCAGATTTTTAGACCCTGTTCAATTAAATGACTTGCTTAAAGCGCTCGAGAGATTCGGAGTCAAGTTGCCTGCTCTTCCTTGGCGGTCACTGGGTGAAAGGCTAGGACTGGAGAAAGGTACACTAGATGACATCGAGTCGTACTTTACTGCTCTGAAGACCGTTATGGATATGATGGGTCAAAGGGTATGCGAGGATGAGTACATAGATTGCTTGAGAGAGTGCCTGTTTGTCTGGTTGGACCGTAATGATCAAGCCACGCTCAGCTTCCTCATATCTGCACTTTATAGTTTGACTGAAGAGACTTCTGAAGACAGTGGGGGGATTTTGCTTGCTGTCGAATCAATGATAGGTACATAAATTCTAGATTGTGAAGCCTTAAATAATAAATTTTATTATTATTATTATTATTCTTTAGGTTATTATGTTCTTAAGGGACTTATTGACATTCGCTATCCCATATTAACAAAGTGGACATCAATATCTTTTTCAGGGCCTAAAGACAGTGGGAAAAAGAAGTTAATTGATCTTCTTTTAAACCTTCAGGGAAACCCAGGCACCATTGTAAAGGAAGAAGCATTGGAGGTTTCTAAGCTACTTGTGGGTAAGCTAGAGAACAAGGCAGAGGCAATGCCCTTTGCTGAAGTCATACTCAATACCAGCAACTTGCAATTTTCTCAATATTTCTTTTGCTCACCTGCACAACCCACACAATATAAACTCCTCAAAAAAGCTGTTTGTAAACTGCTTTGGATTCAGTCATCACCCTACTTAGATTACTCTCTGCTTGCAAAAGAAGTAGAGGAGCTGAAAAATAAAGTTTTATCCCTCCATTCTCATCATGAGGACTTAGAGGAAGTTTTAACCAGTCAAATAGGCTCCCTTCAAAGGACTCGACGATTTACAAGAAGGCCATTTGGGGGACCTGATGACATTGACATAAAGGGCATCTCTATACTTCTTAAGCGGCTCGAAGATCACCTAATATCACTAGCTCCTCCTATTCCTATTACGATTACTGGGCAGCCTTCTTATAGTAAACCACCTACTCCTGGCTTCTTCACCGATGTCATGAAGCTTTCCACTGATGAACCAGTGGTGCCATCTTTTCCCATTCACCTCATCTCTGTCATTAACACAGGTGGGTCCCTAGCTGTTTTAGACATCATTCCATCTCTCCGTTGCTTTACACCAGTAAATATTATAGTTCATAACTTAAAGGATGATCTCGACTCCCTAATAGCTGGTTCCAATCTGACACATCAAGAAACCATCGAGTCAACTGTTCGCTCTCTCAATTCACTGAAGCCTCCAGAAAAAGCTAAAGTACCGATGGAATCAAATTTTGCCGTTGTTGGGACACAATACACTGATACTCCAGAATTTAAGGAGGAAGTTAACGAGAAAAATTACAAAATAAAATCCAAGTTAATGGATTTTGGAGAATACATATTACGTTATGGTAGCTCACTAATATTTCCTATTGATGCCGAAGCTAACGATGAATATACACAAAAAGTATTTAAGGCTCTCTCAAGAAAGATATCGAAATACTTCATTGAAGATGGCATACAGATTCAGCAGCTGTTGTTCATAATGGAGTTAATTCGCCTTAAAAATCATCAACTGATACACATATCTCAATGCATTGAAATAGGTGAAAGTTTAAGCATGGATTCTCATGAAGTCAAGAGTGTCCTAAAGTTTTGTCATCAGCTTTCAATTGTCCTTTATTTCTCTACATTCCTTAGCCACGTTGTTTTCCTTGATCCTCAATGCCTCCTGCCTAAACTGTCAGACCTCTACGACATATCTCATCAATCCAACACTCCAGGTTTAATTGAGGCCAGTACAATAGCCAAAGTATTCAGTGAGACCAGCTTACTAACACCTGAAGATGCCTTCAATCTATTAGTGAGCCTACATTTAGCTGTCAAAATTGATGCCCTCTATTTCCTCCCTTACACCCTTCAAAGGGTCTCCAACGATGAAATAGCGAATAAGAAGAGAATGGTACAGAGTGGCCTGGATCCACTTGTCTTGACTTGGGACATAGGCCAGATACCTCAAGGTCTCTTCCCTACGCTCATTGTACTCCTCATTCGAAAGTATGGCATGACCATTGATACCAGTTGCCTTAAACGTAACGTCATCATACTTGAGCATCCATCGCATTGGAAATTCATGTTAGTTGATGTGTTTCATTGGCTTGAAGTCTACTGCATTTCTAATGAGAGGCATTGCCTATATATCAAGGACACAATTTTGGCAGAAATTGAATCAATGGCATCAGTATTTAACTACAAGGAAAGCCTCTTGTCTCCTACTCTCGCCTTTCCATGTACGACGTGCAAGGACGTTCCTCAACATACTTGCATCATCAATGAAGAGACAGATGTAACAAAATGTACAGAGACCAATACATCATTCCTCATCAACTCCCAACGTCAAAAGCCATGGTTTCATCACCAGATGCCACAAGGTGAGTTTCATTTTTGCCTATTAGGAATAGTTTTTATAACTAGAGTGAACTAGGGGAAATATTAAAGCAGAGTACATGTATGTATCATTTTACCTTTTCACTGTATTATATAGAGCAAGATTCCACACCAAGTTGCATCAAAAATATGGATGTGGTTCCAACTATACTTAAGGAAGCCTCATTTAGA